CATATATGCAGTGCTTTTTTGATTTTTATGGATTCTGGCTACAAACCTTACACTCAATTGGTTTTCTCTAGTTTGTTTCTTACATTGTAGTTTTTACTTATCATGCTGTTAACCTTCAGTTGTTAGTGAGATCAGTAGGTTTTGGCTGCTTTTGAATGCTTGGAAAAATCCTTTGCTGTCAAAAATCATATGAATAAAATGAGTCAGAAGAGCATATAATTATAAATAAATTATATATGTGTGTGTGTATATATAAAGTTTTGCTTTTTACCCCCTATTATTGGAGTGATTTTTATTTTAATACACAGCAATAATGTAACAATCCACAGAACATATTTTGAGTCTTTAGACTTTTATGTTTTGCTGTAAGAGTAGACTCAGCTCAGATTTCAGGGCTGACATTCTCCTCAGACAACAGTCAATCCAGAACCGGCTCTCTGAAGGAGGCCAGGCCTCCTTTTCACCAGGTTGGAAAATAGCAACCCGGGAGAAGGGGGAACTACAGAGTAGAGAACAATTGCCCCCACCCCTACCCCAGCCCCTCCCCCAGCACATCCCCCACTTGCCTCAACACTTTACATAGCAGATTGAGAAAATGGGATTTTCATTTTTTTTGTTGTTGAGGTGTTTATGTGAGCACACATGCATTAGAAGTTACCTGGCAGTCATATGGCCAGCAAAGCACACAGATTTCTGGGATCCTTCTACAATGTGGAGTCCTGCCGGTAAAAACCTGTTTTAAGGGGTTAGGACACATTTGCTTAATGTTTAAATGTTTATTGTCAAAATGATAATTATGATGAATATGGAATTGAAAATGTGCTTACAACTGTAAAGTGAAAAAGATATAGCTAACGTTTTCTAAGGCTTCTCCTCAAGACTTGTGTGCGTGTGTGTGCGCGCAGGAGGGTAAGAATTCTAAACATTTTGTTCCTCTCCTTTCCTATCAGGAGTACTATATACAGTTCTTTGTAGATGTAACCAACCGTCTTATTAAATAAGAAACACAGAAACAATGTAAAAGAGAGAGCCGAGAAGTCAGAGCTCAGAGCTAAAATCTCACCCTTCCTCCTGCTGTCCCAGCTTCGCGAAAAGAGACCTACTTCCTGTCGGTTTGTTTTTTTATAGTATGTTGTTCTGCCTTCTCATTGGTTGTAAACCCAAACACATGACTGCCTCGTCACTGTCTGAATGTACAGCCCCCTAGGTCTTAAAGGCATATGTCTCCAATGCTGACTGTATCCCTGAACACACAGAGATCTTATGGGATTAAAGGCGTGTGCCACCACCGCCACACTCTTGCTATGGCTCTAATAGCTCTGACCCCCAGACAACTTTATTTATTAACATACAATCAAAATAATAATTCAGTACAATTAGATTACCACCACAGTTCTTTATACCTTTGCATAAGGAGCATGATTTTAGAGGCGCTTTTTCATATGCTGATGGCTACTTCACATATTTGTGCCTTTTCCTTTTCCTCTGTTTTCTGGGGGTTGACTCTATGAGCACACCAGCTAGGAAGGTTTCTGCCACTCAGCTAAGTCCATAGTCCTTTATTTGTTTGCCTGGTTTTAGTTTAAGATAGGGTCTCCAAGTTGTCTAGGTTGCCCTCGAACTTCTCATACAGCACAGATGGCCTTGAACTTATGGTTTTCCTATTTTGGCCTCATAAGTAGCTGGGATCACAGGCTTATACTACCAGATCCATGTGCTTATACTTTTCAACTCCCAGGTCCTTTAGGTGCAGGCTAGATACATGGTCCTGGTGGTAGAAAAGGAGAAGGAAGGAAAGTTTACAATTCATGCATACACACACCACACACACACACACACACACACACACACACACACACCACACACACAACACACACACAACACACACACACACACACACACACACACACATTCCATCAGGACAAATTATTATAAAATGTTAGGTGCATATTTTCACTTTATAGTTATAAATATATTTTCAGTTCATTGTTCAACATAATTATTATGATAGACTATATTAGTATGATTAATTAGAGAACTTGACAATTTATGAGATAAATTTATCATGAAATGTAATGTCCTTGAAAAAGATTGTCCTGTGTCTAATTTAGGAATGAATATTAGAAATCTAGTCCTGAAAGAGGAATTAGAAATTCTATCTTCTAATCTAAATATAACCCCTCTTCTTGGGACTAGAGTGTGCCTTTGCTGTGGTGATTTGCACATGGTTCCATATTTAGCCTCTCTATGCTTTATTTTTGGATTATTAATGTGTAAACCTTGGGATTCTTCCTGCAAGCTTATGCATGACTCCATACACCAGCATAAGACAGTTCTTGGAATTGTAGACTACTAGTCTACAGGTCTTTGACTATAGTATGTTCATTGAGTGGTTAGTATAGGTTTTTGTTTGTTTGTTTTTTATTTTACTTTTGTATTTTGTCGGGTTTTTGTTTTGATATTATTGGGGAAGCTGTTTAGTGCTGTTGGAGATTGAGCCAAGGCCTTGAATGTGCTAGATCCATATGCTGCTTTTGAACTATATTCTCTCCCCTATTTTATCTTGGTTTTGTTGATGTTCTTGCAATATGGTTTCACTATGTAGCCCAGACAACCTTGAGCTCTGGATTGTCTTACCTTTTCTCCCTGGTGGGCAGGTTACGGTATGTTCCGCTGCACTGGGCTATTTTTTATGACATGCAAAACATATAAACAGAGAAGTGTTTCAACATGAATGTGCATTTTGATTAAAATTATATATAAAAAAAACCTATGTAAGTCACCATATAGCCTTGAGACATATTTCCAGGTGTCCCAAAGTCCAAGTGTGTCCCTTCAAGATCATACCTTTCCTTTACTCCCAGAAGATTATCATTTTCTCAGTTTTACTATCCTAATCCTCAGACAGCATGAATGCTTGTATTGTATGCTTCGTGTTTCTCCTCAGAACATTACATTGTTCTTGTTTTCTCTCTTAGTGATTTGTAAAACTGGTAAATTAAAGAAACTAGCTTTTTAAGTTTGCTTCTTTTTTATGGCAAATATTTTTCTAATTTCGAAGTTAATTTTTTCACATTTTGTTTTGTAACCTTTTTGTACTTGTTAATATTCTTTTTATTATTTCAGTTACATATAACATTCAAATCGCTTAGAAGCCAGTTTTATGAGTCGTCATGTAATAATGACATGAATTGAATTATAAATTAGTCCTCCGACTTTTTCAAGGTCTGTGAGAACATTCCTAGAAAGAAACCCTGCAGATGCATGAGTGTTGTGAGTTCGAGTCATCAAAACAAAAATATATTCAACATTTAAGCAACTTTTGCTTCCTTCCTTTAAGCACCAGAAAAGCCAATAGATAGCAAAATTTTATTACAAAAAATATTATCAAACATTATCTGGTCAAAATAAGAATACCCTGTCCAGCTTCCCTTCTAACCAACAGCCCTCACCTTACTGAAGACATCATATCACGGGCCAGAAGTACTCACTTTATCCACAGCTAACTATTGGCTTGCTGGAATGAAATTAAGCAGATTCATCTGGACCTGTCTATGGTTTGAGTTTGGTGGTTCAAACCTGTGACCCCAGCTTGTGAAAGGCAGAGGCCAATGGATTGAAGCAAGTTTGGGGCCAGCCTATTGAGGCTTTGCCTTAAAACAAACAAAAACCCTATGTCAGTTTCATAGAATACTTGAAATATAATCTAAACAAAACACTAAGGTGTCTAAATGAGTTGGTATTTTACTATATAAAAACAATCTGGGTGACACACTCCATGTGTACCTAGCCCCCACTTAGTTCTCGGCAAAAATGACTTCAAGTTTAACCCACCGAAAAACACTGGACAAATCAAAATAGTAACACTAAGGGATCATAGAGAGCAGCCAACCATGCGAGTCTTTCTTAGTTTATTAATATGTTCTTGTTTCCTATGTGTTGTGAAGCTGTTTACAAATGACCAAGTAAGATTAACTAATGAAACATCAAACTCTTTCTGCAGCTCTGCTTCAGCGGGCTGGGAACTGAAAAGTACAGAGCAGTCTTGGTTGGCTGTCACCGTCAGAGTGACCTGGCCTCTCCAGCATTGTACGGGTAGCAGCATGATGACATTTGGACCGAATCCTTTCATATTAGAATAAGAGAATTCTGGTGCCCACCTCCTATTTTATGTCAAAAGATGATCTACATTTAAAATGCTTATTGTTTTCAATAAAAGAAAACTCATTAAACATTTAATTAAATGCTGTATATAGAGTTGAAAAACAATAGAATTTTAAAAACTGTCTCAGTTTTTACAGATACTCTTCTATTTATAATGCTTTGAGAAAACTGCTTATCCTATTCTGCTTCTAGAAATTAGATGGTAATTATAACACTTCTTAAGACAGTCTATTAAGAATTCTGCTTACAGGGTTTAACCCTCTTTCTCCAACCTAGGAATTTTTCATTATTTTTTCTGAAAATGGAGACTATGAACTGAGCACAGCATCCATCACTATCTTCCTTGATGGCGGATGCCACGTGACCAGCAGCTTTAAGCTGTTGCCACTTCGACTTCTCTGGCATAACTCTTAAACTGTGAACTGAAATAAACTCCTTCTCCCTTCAAGTGCTTATATCTTGATATTTTAATCACAGCAACCAGAAAAGAAACTAAGATCGCTACATTTCTCCATCTCCTCATGGGCTTCTGTATGTCTCACAAACAGACCTGACTGGTAGTCCAAACTATCTGTTCTTAAATGTGTAGGCCAAAGCCCCAGGAGACAGATAAGATCTCCCTGCTGGTACAAAGCAGGTGTGTTGATGGCCCTTTATGAATGCTTCAGAGTCTCTGAGCTCAGGATTCCTTTCCTTCTGTGCAAGCAGGTGTCTGTCTCATGGATCTCTCCATGTCCCTCTTTGGGAGTCTGCATTTAAGTAACTGCAGCAGACGGCTGCTCTGCCTGGAAACTAGTCCATAGTTGCTGACCCTGGACTCTTCTCTCTCCTGCTAGACCCTTGAAACTGCAGCGACGCATCTCGTTAGCTTGTAAGATAAAATCTCAGGACTTTCCATCGCCGTGACCAAATGACAGGGAGCAGGCGTGACATTCTTCTGCAGAGAGACAGACAGATAATAGGCGGCCTCTTAGGTGAGCATCTTTGATTTTTGTTGTTGTGTCCCTTGAAAATGTAAAACCCATTCTGAGCTTGCAGGCCCTACAAAAGCAGTTTGAGGGCCAGATTTGGCCCATGGGCTGTAGGTTACTGGCCTCCACTGTGCATGCCCTGGCCAGAGGGCTGTTGTGCTGTCCCAGGCATTTCCCAGAGCTCTGAGTCACGATAGCTTCTCTTCTCTTAAAAAAAAAAATCTTTGATTTGTTCTTTGACAATTTCACACATGTTTGCATTGATCATGTCCACCCCAACTCCCCATACCCACTCCTCTCAGACACACCCTAATATGTCTCCTTCCCACTTTCATATCCTCTCCTTTTTGGTTTTCTTTTTCAAAAACAATTTTCCTATGACTCAACACATATGTCCTGTAACTCAGTATAATACAATGAATGCAGCACAGCTACCCATCTCTTTGGAAGTAGAATGTGACTATTATCTAAGAACTAGATTATGAACAGAAACCACCACATTCTTCCAGCTATGAGTCCTGGAAATCCATTAACCTGTGGAGCAGATAGCTCTGATTCAGGCTACAGGCAGCCTTTGTTATATCCACTCTGTAACATAACACAATCAATAGTAACTGATGCTGAGTTTTATTGGAGAGTTTATCTCAATATAATATTTTTCTCAAAACAAGGTCACATTTTCATCTGTGAGATTCTTATAATTTGTGTGAACAGAATTTCTCAGACAATAAACATTAGGTCGATAGTATTGTTGGGTTAAACTGTTTTTAATCAACTTTCCTTCTAAAAACGCTTAAGATGTCTTTTAAAAGTGTGAGGGTTGACTGGGTGTGGTGGTTCATACTTCTAACCCTAGCATTCAGGAGGCAGAGGCAAGATGGATATCTGTAAATTTGAGGCCAGCCTATAGTGAGCTTTAAGCTATATAGTGAGTCCCTGTTGGGAAAAAAAAAAAAAAGGTGAGCGAGTATCTCAAAGTGAACTCAGAAAACGTGGGAAGTTGGGCTGCTTTTTCCTTGGAACACAATGGAAGAGCATGGCCCAGGGTTTCCTGCCTGCTCAAATGGTTAAAAGTACAGGTAGAGTTTCAGACCTGTTAGTCAAGAGCCAGGATGAACAACTGGCTAACTTTGAACACTGTGACCCAAGGGTTACAACTTAGAGGCAAAGGAGAAGCCCCCCAGGCACCGTTATCAGCTTTATAGCATCTCAGTGTCGGCAAGCACACAAGATCAAAAGACCCTCCCCAGTACAGAGAGTCTAAGGCCGGACTCTCTGAAGCCTCTTTCCTCCCTAATTTCGGGTTTGTCAGTTTGAAGAAAAACAGGACGGATGGTTGACTCACAATTCTTGTGTACACATGTCATGATCTGGCCTCAACCTTGTTGTACCATTCCATCAGTAGAGGCTCCACAGGCAGGAGAAAAAGCCCACAGGGCCTTTGTTTTAAAACTCCAGGCTTTTGTCTCAGTTCAGGAGGGTGAGGAAGAAGCCATCTTGGAAGTCCACCGTCTTTATTATTCAGTCATTTTCCCTCTCTGTCTGTCTGCCTATCAGGGAATCCAACTCCCAGTCTCTCACCACCACACATGGTCCGGAGGTGAAGGTGAGGGGGGGGTGGTTTAACATATTTATTGGTTTACAAAAAGAGGAAAATCACAGGGATGTGATTAGCATGTAGTCAACATCATTCAAAAACTTATGTATCTTTTTGTATGTAGAGAGTTTGGAGGGACTGTAAGTAGACATTGAGAGGAATTAGAAGTTTGTAAAAAGATTGGAATCTGAACCTGGGACACAGGCATAAGCTTGAGATAGGGATTATCTGGAGCTAGACAATTTCCAAAGGAGATGGGAAATGGGATTTGTGTTGGGAAAGGAAGCAATTTCATTTCCTTTCTCGGTTTGGTCTTAATACAGATAAGAGAACTACAGAGCAATCCTGTTTCTACAACAGATCACTCATTGTGACCCAAACAACCATATTTAGGGGGTTATTCTGGACCCTGACCATATCCATATAGCATCAAAAGGAACAAAAACTAAATTTGTGCAGCAACACCATCTCTGTTCAAGAACAAGCACATTTTAAAATGTGTGCTCGTGTGTGTGTGTGTGTGTGTGTGTGTGTGTGTGTGTGTGTGTGTGTGTGCACAACCACCAACAACTTGGAAGTTTCAAATAAAAGTTGTGCATTTAGCATTGTGTGGCTGCACACACTTGTAACCCTCAGCATTCCTCCTGTCCAAGAGCATTTTGAGTTCCTCATCAGCTTGGTCTAAGAGAGAAGATCCTGTCTCAAGAACAAACATCATCACAGTGCCATATTCCAATGAAAGATTTTTAAAAATAAAAGAGGATAGCCCTACTGTTTTCTACTCCACAAGCCATAGACAAACACAGTACTTTAAGAGGCTCTTAATTTGCAAAGTAAATAATTGAGGCTAGTTGTGTGAACACATGAAGAGAATCAGCCTGTTTATAACTTCTCCAAATACCCAGGGGATGGGTTTTTTTTTTTCTGCATTTCCCAGATTTGAAACTGAAAACAGCATGTCATCAGCAATATGGGTGATGGATGATCTCCTGAAAGGAATTCTCTAAAAGATGCACAGAAGTTCCCCACTCTCCTACGTTGTCATTACCTGTAACTGTATCCAGTGATAGAGTGCATCCTTAGTATGCAGAAGGTTCCAGCACTGTTTACACACACACACACACACACACACACACACACACACACACACACACACACAGAGTTAAAGAAGAAAGGCTCTCTTTGAAAAGCCAAAGCTCCCCTGTGGGGAATTCAAAACTCTGACTCCCTCTCATTCATGAAGGATTTCCATGCAACTTTGGGTAAATCAGTTTGCCCAGGGCAACAGCCATTTCTACACTATAACTTACCAACAGGTAGGTGTTGATAGTGTGGTAGCCCAGCATGGCTTCTGCTCAACGTTCTGTGTAGTCCAAATGGCATCCTCATTTTCATGGTTGGCATGACTGTATTTCTATAGGCCATAACATGTCAGGTTGAGTAGCAGTGAGTAGGACAGAGTATTCTTGGAACTCAGCTCTGCTTGCTGTTTATCAGTGGTGTCTGGACAGGTCACCTTCTTGGTGCCTTAGTTTCTCTAACTGTAAAATAAGGACATGACCATGTTGACCATAGAAAAGGCAACTACCATTTTTTTTCTGCCACACTATTCAAGAATCTCACAAAATTATGTAAGTAAAACATTAAGAATAAAAAATCATGAATTTAGCCTTTGTGGATCTTACACCTTCCTACCTAGTCATTGGTAACTACTAAGATCACTTTGGTGCATACTGAAATATGCAAATGTGTAGTTTTTTTTTTAAATTAACTCTTTGGGGGCCCACCACCTAGCTCTCAAATAAATACATGGAGACTTATTCTTACTTATGAATTCCTGGCCTTAGCTTGTCTTGTTTCTAGCCAGATTTTCTAACTTAAATTATCATGTTTCTCTTTAACTACATTTTGCCTCTGTGCTTTTAACCTTTCTTTCTTCTATATACCTTTCTTTTCTTCTTACTCCATGGCTGGCTGGCTGGCTGGGTAGCTGGCTCCTGGCATCCTTCTCTTTTTCTCCTTTTCTCACTCTTTGCCCTCTTCCCTAGATTTCTCCTCCTATTTATTCTCTCTACCTGCCAGCCTCCTCCTATCATTTCTTCTGCCTAGCTATTGGCTGTTCAGCTCTTTATTAAACCAATCAGGTATTTTAGGCAGGCAAAGTAACGTAGCTTTACAGAGTTTAACAAATGCAACATAAAAGACTGTAACACATCTTTGCATCTAAACAAATATTCTACAGCATATACAAATGTAACAAACCTTAAACTAATATTCCACAACATCCCCCCTTTTGTCTAAATAAAAATGAAAGATTTTAACTTTAACATAGTAAAACTATAAACAACAAAATCAGTTATCAAGTAAGAATTACATTTACAATATTCAGACCATTTATATTTAGCAAATTCAGAGAAAATACTCCATTATCTATCTTGTCTTAGTGATTCCAAAGTTTTATACCTAATTTCCTGTCTATCATAACTAAGGAAAACCATAACTCTAAGTATTTAGTCCTTAACTCCATCAAAGACCCCAGAAGGATGTAATATTTTCTAACAACAGAGACATCTGGCTGCCTGGACAGTTACCCAAAGTTCTTTTGCAACATTGGGGCATTGATCTTTGGCCTTCAGGCCTAGAATATCTGGCAGACTTTTCAGTGAAGCAGGAAATTTGAAGGACTGTCTTGCCTTGTATTGGCAAAGTTGGTTAGTCTCTTTCCTCTGTGCCCTGGAGAGTATCTGGCAGACTCTTTTGTGAAGCAAGAATCTCAAAGGACTTGTCTACCTTGTCTTGGCAAAGTTCAACAGTCACTTTTTCCTATGCTCCACTTGTCCAGTCTGTACAGCATACTGTCAACAGTCAAGGCAAGAACAGTTTCTTGCCCAAATGGCTAGCCTTGCCACATTGAAAGTAAACTCCATATGGAGTTTCTTTGATGCCCATCATCTTTTTATGAAGTAAATTGGTGCTGCCAGGAGCAGCTGTGTCTCATTGTCATGATAAACCTTAGGTTATTAAACATCTTAAATGCCATATTCTATAGATCTTTGAAGTACTTGAAAACCATCTGTCTGTCTAAAATATACATGTTTAACCTTGAAAACATACCTAATGTGACTACAAGCTTGATTATTATAGATTAGCCACTAACCTCACTTTTTAATTATTTATAAATTTTTTTTAATTAATTATAAAAATTGCATTTTTAAGTGAGCTGCATAAGCACAATACCCCAAACAAGAGTAGAAACATATATACAGTGTAATGAAAATAACTTTAGATTTGTATCAATATACCAAAATCCATGCCAATGCAAAGTATCTGAGATTAATAGTTGTCTTTTTAGTCTATATTCCCCTAAATGATAACAAACATCCGTAACCCACCAAATAATCAAAGA